AACATCACGAAAGTCAGGAGGTGATGTCCATGAACATTGTATGTACCTCGGAATGGGATATTCATCCTATTACCATCACTGGCTTATTGTTTCTGTCTCATGCCTCTCCTCTTCACCCTGGATCCCTCATGCTTTGGGCTCTGACCTCATCCAAGGGAGGGACCTTGCTGACTCTGGTGCCCTGCAGGTCTCAGGCACAATATAGGACACCCACATTCCTGGGTACTTTTCTCTGCAGTGCCTCCTCCTGGCCACACTGACCAGGGTGTCTTGCTCTCTACAGGCTAAACTGGTGGCTCTGCTCCATTCCCTACAGCATCTTTATCTTCACTTATGATGAAACCAGGAGGTTCTTCATCCGTCACTATCCTGGTGGTGAGGCTCCCTGGGTTCTGCCCTGATGAGTGACCACCAGCACCCTCACTAATCCTTCCAACTCACCTGGTTCCCTCACACCTTCTAGCTTCTTCCCCATCCTGCTCCCCACCCTTGACAGTGCCCAGACCCCAGCTCTATGCTCCTTGGCTTCTCCACTCTGTTCCTTCCAGTCCTCAGTGCCCTGTTCTAGACCCTCAGTCCCCAGCCTTGTCCTCACTGCCCTTTGGTGGGTCTCTAAGGTCACTCTGTTCTTTTCTCTTCTACAGGCTGGGTGGAAAGGGAGACGTACTACTAACCCAGCGGAGGAGAGCACCACACAGCATGGGGGGTGGTAGACACAGAGTGGGGTGGGGCTGCCACATATCTGAGAGAGCATGTGCATCGGAGGCAGAGAGACACTAGGATAAATTACCTTGGATGAGAGACAGGCACTCCTGAAGCTGGACTGCAGGCATTGCTGGTAGGAGGTGGGGTGGGTTGAGGGGAGCATAGCCCTTGTCTGGCTGGAGTCCAGCAGGGGAAGGGCATAATCCTGTTGAATTCAGTAGCCTGTCTGAAGAGTAAATGTTTGGAACAGCTGCCACCTGGCTGGATACATCTCATCTGATTTGGGGACCATGTGGATCACCATAACGCCCCCTCCCTCATGGTAACCAGGTGGGGAAAAGTCTTTTGGGCACCAGAATCCAGGCTAGGAGGGAATTAGAATCAAGCAACCCTGCCCCTTAAGGGCTGTTCCCATCCTAAAGTCACCCTTCAATTGCTTGGAGATCAAGGGCAGGACGAACCAGCTGAGGTAGTTAACATGAAGGGGATGAGAGCAGGGCTGCAGGCCCTGCTGAGGGCCACACTGGGCACCGCCAGGCAGACTCAGCCAGCCGGACTGTGGAATTTCCCAGAGCACCTCCCAGCCTGGCCGATGGGAGATGAAGGGAAAGGGATTGCAGTGTGACCAGGCCCCAGGGGGTGGGGTGGGGATGCCTTCTCTCTCTCTCTCTGGTGTCTCTCTTTGGGATGCACATATGCCCTCTGGCATCAAAAAAAAAAAAAAAAAAAAAAAGCCTGAGGTCTAGAGAGCCTCCATGACTCGGGAATGGTGCCCATCCAAGGAAGGGGTGGCACAAGGGAAGGACTCCAAGCAGATGGGCAGCCTCTGCCCTCTGAGAGTCAGGGCTTCTGCACCCCCCTTTTCCCTCAGCCTCTATTTCCAGGAGAGGCTGTACCCAGGCTCTCTGAGTCCCCACAGGCTTCACTTTAGGCAAAGCACCAGCCCCTGCACTACCCGGACTGGTGGTCCCCAGGTGAGTATGTGTCCCAGTGAGCCTCTCCCCTGCCCACCCTCACCCAGCGGTTCCTCCCCACCATTCATCCGCTCCCAGCTTTGGCTCTGTGGGCCTCTTCCTCTCTGCCTGAGGGGCCAACCCCAGCCTCTTTCTGAGGGAAGAGTTGGCTGTGCCCCAAAGTGAATAGGGTTAGAGACAGATGCTAAGGAAGGCGGCCGGAGCCCTCAGCTGTGACCAAAAACAAAGTACATGGGACCAGGGGACGGCACAACAGTAACCAAATTGCACCCACGTGGGAAGTCCTGGGTTCGAGGTCCAGACCTCTCTGTGCACACCAGACATGGGATCCAGGCTGGCTGAGGTTGGGGATGGATTGTGGCATGAGGACTCCGAGCGGCTGTTTCTCTCTCTTTGAAGAAATAAATTAACCTAAGAAATAAAATGTGTGCTAAGTGACCATCTTACACCTGGCGCTGGATCGAGCGCTTTCCACACACCATCAGTCCGTTCACAGAGTACCCCTACTACCACCCTGCTTTACGGATGGAGACCAAGTCTGTCTGAGTCCAGAACTTCTGTCCTGGGTCGCTGCTCAGATTAGCCTTCCACTGAGGGCTGGGTCCAAAACACACAGAGACAAAACACAGCAAACCAGGAAATAAGGGAGTGATGGATGAAGAGCCACCGGCAGGGCTGGAGGATGAGGCCAGGGGCTAGCGGAGAGAAGGCCCTCCGGAGGTCCAGCATTCTACCTTCTCCTGCCCAGGGCTCATAGAGGTCTCTCTCCCGCCTGTCCCCGCCCCCTTCCAACTCGAGGTCTCCTAGGGACAGGGCTATGTCCGTGTGGGGTCCTCCCCTGTGCTGACGAGGCTGAACCAGACCCTTCAGTGTGTGTGGTGAGGTGAGGAGGGGGAGTGTGGAGGGGCTGGCTCCTCGGGTTTCAGTAGCAGCAGCTTGAGTGTCTGGTGGGTTAAAAATACAGAGGCCCCAACTCGGGGTCATTTGATACCAGTGGCTGGGGCTTGTTAAGTCCAGGGGCCTGAAAGCAGGGGCCTAGAGGGAAGGGGACTGCACAGAAAGCAGAACCCGAGCACCAGAGACAGGAGGAAGGGGCGGAGGGGTGCCGGTGGTGGGCAGGGCAAGCCTGGGACCAGAGCCAGGCAGCACAGAGTGGGGGACGCAAAGGGATGATGCGATCTGGTGGCTGCAGATGGCGGGAGACGGGGCTGGCCCCTGACCTCACAGTCCTGCTTCCCAGGGGCCAGCTTCATGAGGGAGTAAGCGCAGTATCCAGTGCCGGTCCGAGTGCAGCAGGGTGAGAAATCAGGGCTGGGCTGTCCTCTGCGCCATCTGATTCTGGCCAGCCCGCCTGTCTCTCCAGCTGTCTTGCTCAGTTGTGGATTCTGGGAGAGAGGCTGTCTCTCCAGCTCACCGCACCTTGCTTAGGCTCGCTCTGGCCGCTCCTGCTAGTGACAGCTGTCTCCCTCGGACTCGGACTCTCTCCTGCCTTGTTCTTAAGATTTTCTGTGGCCTCCCCTTAAGCCATCCCAGAGGAGGGCGGCAAAGTTACTCTGCTCAAATAATTCCCCCCTCTCTGCATGGAAAATAACACTACCCCACCAGAATCAGGCATACCACAGGGTGGAGTGGGGGGAGGGGGGTTGACTTTGCTGTTTTGTTTTTGTTTTGTTTTGTTTTGTTTTTTTAATTGCCGGAGGCCATGTACACCGACCAGAGGCAGAGAAAGCTCCCACTCCCTACCATGGGGTGTGGTCGTGCTATGATCCTTTTTCCTCCATTTCTTCATTCCTCTGGGATGTAGGGCACGTGTGCAAACACACCCGGCATGTTTTTCAAGCTGCCAGAGCTGGGATTCGAATCACAGTCAGCATGTGGGACCCAGCTCCCGATGCACAGCACTTACCCACTGTACCAACCCTGGAGTGTCGGACCTTCAACTAGCCGCTCTCATGCCTCAGGTTCCCTGCACACGGCCGGAGCCGCAGAGGGCCCTGACAAGGCGCCTGCCTTCCCAGGCAGTCAGAGCTGAGCTCACCCCCTCTGTCTTCAGCTCCCTGAAGGGGTGCAGAAATTAAAGCCCCCACCCCAGCTCTGTATCTCGGGTGCACAAAATTAAGCAGCATGCTTGGCTGAGGACACACGGCCCATGTCTCCATGTGTGCCTCGTGTTCGTTCTGTTCCTCTTCATCCTGTCATAGACACGGGCACGAACAGTAGCTATTGGCCCTCCTGGAATGGGGCGGCCTGGGGAGTCCCCGCTTCCCACCATCCTGCAGGACTTCAGAGAGCCCACACAGGACGTGGCAGTCACCTGACATTCGCCTTTGCATCCTGGGCCTACGGGCACCGAAACCCCACGCCTGCATTTCTACGGGACGGGACCTAGGCCAGCCCCGTCCTTCCCTGCACTCCCAGCTTAGGAGCGTTGAGAGGAGCAGAGGAAACGGCCAGGAGCTGAGCCAAGGCTCCATCTTTTATTCAGAGAATGACCTCATCCTCGGTCCTGCTTCTTTAAAGGAAAGTGCAGGGGTCTCTGCCTGCAGCCTGGACTGCACTTTGATTGCCCTCTTCCCCAAAGACAGAATCAAAGAAACAGACTTCACCTACAGAAGACTCCAGGTCTCAGGACAGAGCGGAAACCACACTTGTCCCCATTTTGTCCTATATGGGGTTATCAAGTTAGCCTCCCACCGGCAGCCCCTCCTCTCCTCCACTGCATCTCCTAATTACCCCTGCTCCCCCCCTCCCTAATTACCCGCCACCTCCCCTCCCCCAGCGCCAGCTTCATTTACCTCCGACTCATCTGGTCTTATTTTTAGCCCCCGTCGCTCTCTCCCTTCTCCTTTCTTAATATGGCGATGAGCTCTTGGGCTGGTGCAGGGACAGGGGCTGAGGAGCCCTGGACTTGGCAGGAGTGGGAGGGAAGGAGCCGAGGGAGCTGAGGGAGAGGTGCAGGAGGGGAGGATTCCGGCCCTCATGGAGCCGTCCTGGCCTCAGAAGGTTATCCGTCTCCCCTGCCAACCTCAGAGACATATTTAGACAGGACCAGGTGGGGACCAAGGGCTGCCAATTTTAGGGGGCAGCTCCGGTTCCCTCCCTGCCCCCGCCCCCTGCTCCTATTCCTCCTCCTGACCCTTTTTCTCTTGTCTCTGTCTGCAGTTTCTGCAGGACCCAGCAGTGTCCTCGGTCCACTGCTCTGGGCCACTCCCCACCCCCCACCTTGAGCCTCTACCTCAAGATTCGGGACCCGGGGGGCCCTCCCTCCCCAGCTAGTCTCCCCTGGACCAGGAGAGCAGACCCAGACCCCCCGCTAACCCCATGCACGCTATGGACGGACTGTGGGCCAGAGCTGTGCGGCTGACACTGCTGCTACTGCTGGTGCTAGGGACGCCTGAGCCGGGGGTCCGCGGGGAGGACGGGCTGGACTTTCCCGAGTACGACGGCGTGGACCGTGTGATCAATGTCAACGCGAAGAACTACAAGAATGTGTTCAAGAAGTACGAGGTGCTGGCCCTCCTCTACCACGAGCCCCCGGAGGATGACAAGGCCTCCCAAAGGCAGTTTGAGATGGAGGAGCTGATCTTGGAGGTGAGTGGGGCCTGCAGGCTGCAGAACACGCCCACCGCCTCCGCCTGCACCACCCCAACCCTGCAGGCCCACGCAGATCTTTGGGGGGAGGACAGAATCAGAGTGAGGGTCAGTGAGGCAGAACCCCAGCTTCACCGGCTGGACTCAAGTGGTAGGTGACGGTGACCTTAGTCAAGTGAGAAACAGGCTCAGGAACCCAGAAGTGCTACCTAGTTAGGTCATTGTGGGGCTCCAGGAGAGGCCAGGTTTGAAAATGGGTCAGGAGGAGGGACAGGAGCAGGTCGCTGGAGGGGCTGCAGGGGCTCTCCCCTCCGTGTTGCGTTGTCGGTGGTGCTATCGCAGAACGACAGTGCTAGGTTTGGCTAAGACAGGGGACGGGAAGGAAAAGGGAGGTCTTGGGGGCCAGGGGACTGCAGTGTGGTGTCTTGCACGCCCCTCACCCAGCAGGCTTTTCCCCTCCATCTCTCTGGGGCTGCACCCTAAACTGAGCACAACTCTGAAGGTTGTCGAGACCTTATTTGCATGCCATGTAGCTAATGGTTAAGTATTTAAATATCCCTACACAACTCCATGCCTGCTGGCCTCCCAGCTACCCCAGCACCTCCCTCATCTGCATCCATCTCTATTGGACCAAGCAGGATGCCGTCACTGGAAAATTCTTTCTGTCGAAGGAGGCTTCAGAATGCCTTCCCTAACATCCCTTTCTGAGAAGAGTGTCCCTATCTCTAATCTGCCTTCGGGCCCAAAGGAGAGAAGAGTTATTGTTTACAAAAATAAAGTCTAAAGCGCCTTGTTGGGGGAGATTGGGAGGTGTGGGAGCAGGAAGCGTCTGAGTGCCCAAGTCCAGGTCGCTGCAGCCCCTTCTAGAGCTGGTAGTGCACAGAGGCCCCAGCTTGGCCAGAGCTTGGATCATTTCAGGGTGAGCCACCAGGACTGCAGACTCCCGTTTCTATGCATCCCTGCTGGGTGCTGGAACCCGCAGTCTGATTAATGAGTGGGTATTTTTATCCCAAGTGCTCAGTATCCCCGGCCACCCACCTGCCAACCACCTCCTTGCCCTGTCCTCCCGAGAATCTCGGCACCCCAGTCTGTGCTGGACGGGGTTCAGCGGTGAGCTGTGCCCACGGCAGAGTGAATCAGGCTGAGTGCTGAGCTGGGAGGCTTATGGGGGCATGGGTGCCTGGGCGTGACTGTCCCCAACACAAGGACAGGCTGAGGTAGTGTGCGAAAGGGGAGGAGAGCTGCCCAGTCTCTGGGGGTGACCTCTAAGCCTTCCCTACTCCTCAGCAACACGGCCAGACCCCCCACATAATCTTCCCATTGGGGGTCACTCTGAGGAATCCCAGGGACTTCTCCCATCACCCCACCAGCTTGGCCTCTGGACCTCGGTCACTCTGAAGCAGATTCCTCAGCACCCTCAGGAGCAGGGCAACATCAACAGTTCAACATAAAAAGTGCATGAAAATGAGCAGTGCACACTCATGAGCTAAAACAACATTGAACTCAAAATGGAACGGGCGGGGTTGCAGGGAACTGGGGGCTCATTTGGATCTTAGCCATGTTAGTGTAGGATCAAGGGCAACCTTCTACTCCCTACACCCCAGTGGACCCGGTTTGAAAGCCCAAGAAGGGGACAGAGGTTAATAAGAACGCTGGGGCTAATTTTAACCCTACCCCCTCCCTCCAGTTAGCAGCCCAAGTCCTAGAAGACAAGGGTGTTGGCTTCGGGCTGGTGGACTCTGAGAAGGACGCAGCTGTGGCCAAGAAACTAGGTAAGGGGGAGAGGAGGCGGCAGGTGAGGCTCAAGAGGAATTGGATGGAGGACTTGGCAGCAGGCCTGGGAACTCTCCCTCCACATCTATCTGAAAAGAGGGGAGAATAAATTGACATTGGGAAGGTTATGGCTGGGGGTCCCATGCTGTAGTTCCAGAAAGAGGTGGGGGTGGCTTATTTTTTTTTTTAAAGAACTATTCATTTCATTTCATTTATTATTATTTTTTCTAATTTGCTATAGAGCATGTGTGCTCACCAGAGAGAGACAGAGAGAGAGAGAGAAAATGAGAAAACAAGCTGCCAGGTCTGGGACTTGAACCATGGTTGGCCAAGTGGGAGTCCAGTACCTTAACCACCACACCACCTGACTCCCCTCCTTTAAAAAAAAAAGTTAGGGCACATGAGCTTGCTGGAGACAGAGAGAGGAAGAGGAGGAAAATGAGAACACACTCCCTAGGGAGAATGGCCACACTGCAATCCCGTCCCCTCCATCTCCTCTCAGGATTGTGGGCACACACTCACATGTGCCTGGCATGGTTTTCAAGCCACCAAGTCCAAGACTTGATCCAGTCACTGCTGGCTGGCCTGGTGGCCTTCTTTATACTTACCTAAAACACGTGGCTAAGGGGGGGCGGGGTGGGGACAATGGGGGGGGCCTCTGCAAACACCCTTCCCACCCCGCCCCACCCACAGCCACAGCCCTGGCTGGGCATTACAGCAGCCGGCCACGAGGGGGCCACACAGGCCTGGGACTGGACTCCGGATGTGGGTGGGAGAGGGGTGGTTAGTAATAATGAAGTCATCTGGTCAGTAATAGCAGTTAAAGGGCCGGACTGGGAATCCGCTGCTGGCGTCCTGGGAGGGGCAGCATGAATATCCGCCCTGGTCATGGCAGGCACAGAGGGAGACGTAGTGCTGGGGTCTTCATGTCCCCTCTGGACCCCTTCATGTCCCCTCTCCCACCCTGTCTGGCCCCTTCTCCCTGGGGAACCCTGGGCCAGGCTAGCTTCCTGGGTCAAATCCAAGGCATAGCATGGAGTTGGGGGGCTGAGGACCGAGGAGCGGGTGCAGCCAGGGTGGGAGAGCCGAGGCTCGCTGGCACCATGGGATGTGCGAGCCAAGGTCAGGGCCTGGGACCTGTAGGAAGGTGGTGACAGCGGCTCACCTCCACTCCCTCCCAGGACTGACCGAAGAGGACAGCGTCTACGTGTTCAAGGGAGATGAGGTCATCGAGTACGACGGCGAGTTCTCTGCGGACACCCTGGTGGAGTTTCTGCTCGATGTGAGGCCCCAGGCCAGACCTGGCTTTACCAGGCCCATCCCTACTGGCTCCGATCTTATACCACACATGCCTACACTCCAGACACACCACACAGAGACCATATTCTGCACACACACATCACATACACTGCAGACTGCACACATGTACACCACACACACATGCATTCCAGACATACCACACAGACACCATACACTGCACACACACACACATATATGCACACACACACACACCACATACAGACTGTGCACATATACATCACACATTCATGCATTCCAGACACACCACACAGAGACAGACACTGAGTGCATGCACACATATATACATCACACACACTATAGATGGCACACATACACACCACATGCACATATATACCACATGCATATGCCCAACACACACACATGTACACCAGACACAACACACAGAGACCACACACTGTGTGCATGCATACACACACATGCACACCACACACAACACAGAGATCACACACTGCATACACACACATACACACCACACACACACACCAACATACCACAAAGAGACCACACACTGCACACGCACGCACACACACACGTACACCACACACACTATAAACTGAACACATACATATCATTGCACATGTACACACCACATGCATATACATATAACACACACATGTACACCACACACATGCACACCAGACACACCAGTCAGAGGCCGTATAGTGCGCATCTGCACACACACATACACCCCACACATGCATGCACACCAAGTATACCACACAGAGGCTATACATTGCACACAGACATACATACCACAAACACTGCAGACTGCATACATACATACCACACACATATACATGCCACACACATGCACATCATACACAACACAGAGACCACACACTATATACACACACAGAACCACACATACACACCACATGCACGTGCATACCAGAGACCACATAATGTGTGCACACGTGTGCATACACACATACACCACACACATGCTACAGACTGCACACAAATAAACTACATGCATGTACACACCACATAAACACACGACAGACTGCACACATATACACCACATACATATACATACCACAGACACACACCACACAGACCACACACTGCACACACACATGCATACACCACACACACTACAGACTGTACACATACACACCACACATATATACACACTATACACACATGCACACCAGTGACCACACATTGCACACACACATGCACAGCAGACACATGCATACCACATACCATGCATACCACACACATGTGCACTACACATAATGCACACAACACACACCACATACGCATATACCACATTTGCTACATACACACAATGCACATGCACAGTATAAACACATGGAACACATATTTGCACACACCGCACATACCACAAAACACAGGTACCACAATACCATAAATAGCACACACACTCCCCACACACAAACCACATATAGCATACCACACACACATCACACATGCCACATCCACACCACACATATACACACATCGCATAGAGAACACACACCACACATCACACATACACACACCGTCACCGTCCAGGCCCTCTCTCTGGTCCCCAGCCTCCTCCCCGCTAGGCCGCTCTCCATTTCTGCCTGGGAGGGTGGACACTCCCTGGGGCGTCCTCCAATGCCCCCACCCTTCCAGGTCCTGGAAGACCCCGTGGAGCTGATCGAGGGAGAGCGGGAGCTGCAGGCCTTTGAGAACATTGAGGACGAGATCAAGCTCATCGGCTACTTCAAGAGCAAGGACTCAGAGCGTGGGTGACCCTCAGACTCTGCCGTCCCTCCCTGGCCCCCATGTCCAGCCTCACCACTTGGCCCGTCAGCTTAGCATCTCTACCCCCAACCCCCTGCCCAGCTCAACCCATCAACTGCCCTGGGGCCCCCCAGAAAGCACCCCACCTCTGGCCTCCCACCTCCCTGGCCATGGCTGTGGCCACACACTGCTGCATTTTACCCCCTCTCAGGGGTGGTCTAGAGGGGGTGGGCTGCAGGAGGAGCCCCACCTGCCAGAGGACCAGGGAGAGGCGGGGATTGGGGGACAGGTCCCTGGCAGACCCTGGCTTGCCTAGAGACAGACTCTACCTTATCCCCTCAGATTACAAGGCCTTTGAGGACGCGGCCGAGGAGTTTCATCCCTACATCCCCTTCTTCGCCACCTTCGACAGCAAGGTTCTCTTCCCCGGGGGCCATCGTGGGTCCTGGGTGCCCTTCACACCTCTGCCCTCTGTTCTCTTCCCCTGAACCCATGGGGGGGGGGGCGGGTGTTCCCTGCCCCACCCTGGGCTTTTCCTACCCCACAGATCTTAGAGCGGAAGAAGGGCTGTTGATCTTACCCACCCCTCTCATGTTGAACCAAAGCCCAGAGAAGTGAGACGCTTGCCCAGCGTCACAGTGGCAGTGACAAGGACTCCTTCCCTAATAACTGTTCCCTGTAATACTGCTTCTCACCAAGACCCTGCGCCCCGGCTCCACCCCCCTGCTCCTTCCCCTACAGGTGGCCAAGAAGCTGACCTTGAAGATGAACGAGATCGACTTCTACGAGGCCTTCATGGAAGAGCCCGTGACCATCCCCGACAAGCCCAACAGCGAAGAGGAGATCGTCAGCTTCGTGGAGGAGCACAGGAGGTGGGGACAGGCACCCCTCTGAGCAGGCTGGCTGCTCCCTAGGCTGTGAGGGGGCCAGGGCTCTAGCCGCCGGGGAGCTGGGCTAGCCAGGGGTGCAGGCACATCTGGATGTGGACGCTCCTGGGTACGCAGGTCATTGTGCACCCCGGTACTTAGCCTCAAGCCCCGCACAGAGATGGTCTTCCGCAAATGCGTGGTTCACAGAGAGGCTGACTGTGACTTAATCATCGACAAACGAGGGCGAGTGTGGTGGTCTTCCAGGGACTGCACGTGCTTTCTATCTCTAGACTGTGTTTAATCCTTTTACTCTGAGCGAAAGAGGAAGCCTCAGAATTGAGATTTTAAATTTTTTTCTTTCTTTTCTGTTAGGCACATACATTCTGAGAAAGGCAGAGAAAGTAAAAAATCACCCCCAAGGGAGATGCCCACGCTGAAGTCCCTTCCTCATTCTCCTCCGGGGGTTTTGGACACACATGCACATGTGCCTGGCATTTTTTTTTTTTTTTTTTTTTTTTTGCCATAGGATGCATGTGCTCACCAGAGAAAGGGGACATGAGAAATCACCCTCTGGGGGGGGCCACATTACAAACCCTAATCCTCTGTTCTCTTCCTGGGATTTTGGGCACACACGCACACGTGCCTGGTGTGATTTTTCAAGCCACTGGGTCCAGGACTCAGATCGCAGTTTACTATGTGGGAATCAAGCACCTTAATCACCACATCACCTGCTGGCCCCAATGCCTGGGGTGTTTTTCAAGCCACTGAGTCCAGGACTCGAACTGTGAAGCTGGCCATGTGGGATCCCATGCCTTAACTGCCATACCACCTGCTGGTCCAGAAACTGAATTTTTTAAAAGTTTATATATTGTTTGTTTTGCTTAAATATACTTATTTCTTGAGAAAGAGAAGAGAGGTATTTCCTTTTTTTTCTTTTTTTCTTTTTTTTTTTTTGGAGAGGTTTTTGCTATAGGGCGCATGCACTTGACAGAAAGCGAGAAATCATACGCCCCCCCCCCCGGGGAGATGGCCATGCTGCAATCCCTTCTCCTCCATTCTCCTCTTGGGATCCTGGGCACGCGTGCACAAGCACCCGGCGTGAGTTTAAGCCACCGGGTCCAGGACTCAAACATGGTTGACTACATGGGAGTCCAGCAACATAGCCATTATGCTTACTGCTGGTTCCCTATATACTTATTTCTTGAGAGAGAGAAGAGAGGTGTTTCTAACAAGGTCTTCACACCCCCCACTTCAGCCTGCACGATAAGTGTGTCCACATATG